GCAACACAAACCCAAACTCAGCTCTACCCCTGACTAGACCAGCTTAACCCACACACATTAACAGCCCAACAGAGAAAAAAAGAAATGCCCATTTCTGAACATAAATGGTATTTACCTCAGTCTGTGTACTTCTAGACATGATGTCCAGCGACCAATCAAAAATCATGAGACATACTTTTTCAAGAAACTGTCAAGAGATAAAGCAATCAACAGAACCAGACTCAAAGATGACACAAATGTTGGAACCATCAGGCAGGAACTTTAAAATAACTATCAGTAATATGTCAAAGAATATAGTGGAAAAGATAGACAACATACATAAGGGGAACTTCAACAGAAAGATGTAACAGAAAACAAGAGTCAAATGGAAATGGTAGGATTCAGCAGCTGAAGGGATATTGAATTAGGTGATCTCCGAGCTATTTCAACCCTGACATTCTATGATTCTCAGACCACCACTTCAAGAAGGTAAGAGAAGAAAAATCAAAATAAGGAAATGAATGACTTACATAGAGAAAACATGAGGCAGCTGATAATCACCAGGTTGGAAATGATCCTTTAAATCTTCAATTTAAAATATAAAAAGAATGAGAAATTACTACACATACCTCTGGCTACCAAGTAAATTCTATTAACCTACAGACAGACTGTCTGCTTTGTTTATTTTAGATACAAATAGGAAAACTCTAAATTGCCTTGCCTTTTAGAATCATGGCATGCTGAATCTTTCCTTTTTCTTAGAAATCCTCTCCATTTTCATACCTTATTTATAATTCTAACTTCAAAAGATCAAACTACATACAACATCATGTTTAATCTTTATGAAGAAAAATTTTGACCTGAGATATGTCTGTGGGGTGACTTTTAACTGCTGACATTTATCATATAGGAAGAATAGGTCTTATACTTACTAGATATTAGATAAAAGTGTGTTCCCAAAAAAACTGTAGAGTAGCCCTTTCTCTCCTGGCAAGTGTCCGTTTGGTAACTTAAGGTTATTATTTCTTGTAGTGATTTAGTACCATCACTAAAATGACAGTGAGGAATTTTTTAATAAAGCACAAATTTACAGGGACAAACAAAATAAGAGAGACAACGACAACACATTTTTGGAAGTTTCAGAGTTAACAGATGGGGGGCAAACAGTGAGGGATTATCATGAACTTAACTTGATGGTAGACCCTGAGAAAGCTGAGTTCTAAAAAGCAGTGGGGAGGCAATAAAGGAACTCAATGTATAATGCAGAGCCCAGAGTCCCCAAGACATTCAGGAATTTGGTGGCATAAAGACTCTCTGGAAATTAGTATAAAGATGGGGCTAAAAACAGAAGAGTTGCTTGCCATTTTTGGTAAGAAGCAATTAAAGCCCCAGCTCATCACTCAGCACAAACAGGAAACTGAAGCTCCCTACCCCAGCAAGATCTGAGGTGCATCCTCCAAAGAAAGTTGAACAGGGGTCTATAGACTAGGGGAGAGTGGACATAGGTGAGGCCAGGGCACTGTACTCCAGCTGACACCTCTTCTGTACCTGAACCTCTCAACCTCAGCTGTCTCTTGTTCCAGCTGTGCAGCGCTCCAACCGTGTGCCTCACCTCCTCCCATGTGACCCCCACTTCCTTTCCTGAGATTTAGCCAAGCCTGTGAAACTCTATTGAGCATCCATATCACACATGCACAACCTGGAAGTGCGAAAGAGTTAAGCCCAGGGGGCAAACTTGATCAACGGGAGATTGGAGCCAATGGATAAATTCTCTCCCCTCCTCGCGCTAAAGGAATGGTCCTGAGATACATATATGCTTCTCAGAGGTGGAGTCCCAAGAATTAACCAATACATCCCACTTGGAGGCACGCAGCTCAGTACATCCTCACACTGGCTCTCGCCCCTTCACTGCTTTACTCACCCGTCCCTCCCACCCCCTTTCTAGGGCTGCACTCCCCAATAAAATCAAAGCATAAGTGCCTCACCTTCCATGTCCATTTCCTGTGGAACCCAGCTTAAGACAGTTGGTACCAGAAGCGACCCCAGAAAGTATGACTCACCTGATGACAATGAGGTCCCACTGCTGGTAGTAAATCACCAATGAAATTAATAAGCCTATCATCTGTTTTATCATCACATACGTGAGAAAAGGAGAGTCCCTGCTCAGAGAGGAAATAGCTTAAATGCCAAACGAGGACCTGGAGGACCTGGCAAAGATGTACTGGCAAGAACTGGAGCACATGTAGGAGTGTATCTTGAGGGGGTTGGACCAGGTGGGCGGAATATAAGCGAAACAGGCCTTTATGGATCTGGAGGGATTCATCTATGATATAGAACTCAACGTTCTGGCAAGTACGCCCACAGCCAGTCCTAATAGTTTGTTGAATGGCTTTTAAAAACTTACATATGCTGACAGTTTACTGTAAATGAGACAGAGATGCCTGTTGATGGATATTAACATAAAAAGTTGACTGAAACAGTTTTGATCTGCTCTTTAGGTACCAAATTCAGCAAGGCAGCTGCCATTAGATCCACTGTCAAGTTAAGTTCACGATAATCCCCCACCGTCTGCCATGATTTACCTTGTTTTAGTCAGGAGTCAGAAAGGTAAATTAAATTGGGGGTGGGGGTAGGGCTGAGGGGGCCCATCATATAGTAAGATTAGACAGTGCAGTAGGGGAAGAAGGGAGAGCAAAGATAGATTGAGGGGGGGGCAGGGGATGAGTAAAATTGTCTTTATTTGTAAATGACACAATCATTTACATAGAAAAATCCTAAGAAATCTACAAAAAAGATACTAGAACTAATCAGTGAGTTTAACAAGGTGGCAGTATACGAGGTCAACATAGAAAATCAATTTTATTTCTATATACTAGCAATAAAAAAATCAGAATATACAGGGTTTTTTTTAAATACCACTTACTGTAGTATCAAAAACTATGAACCTCTTAGGGATAAACCTGACCAATAAATTATAAAATCTGTACACCAGAAACTACAAAATACTGTTTAGAGAAACTAAAGAAGACCTAAATAAATGGACAGATATATCATGCTTATGGATTAAATGTCTCAATATTGTTCTCAGTTCTCTCCAGATTGGTATATAGATTCAATCCCAAAGAAATGAAAATCCCATCAAGGATTTTTTTTTTGTAGAAATTGACAAACTGAATCTAAAATTTATGTGGAAAAGCAAAAGAACTAAAATAGTGAAAATAAGTTTGAAAAAGAAAAAGCTGGAAGACTGACACTACCTCATTTCAGGACTTCGTGTAAGGCAACAGTACTCAAATACAGACACACTGGTCAGCCCAGAAAGGACCCGTGCACATATGGCCAATTGATTTTTTTAAAAAAGAAGCCAAGGTAATTCAGTGAGGAAAGAATAATCTTTTAGCAAATGGGGCTGTTACAACTGGCTATCCAAATAGACAAACCTCCACTCTTACATCGTATCACATTACAAAAATTAACTCTAAGTGGATCATAGACCTAAATGTAAAAGTTAAAACTGCAAAATTTCTAGAAGAAAACAGAAGCAAATCTTAGTGACCATGGGTTCAACAAAGATTTTTTTTAAACAGGACAGAAAAAGCACAAACGATAAAGGAAGAAATTTATGAGCCAGACTTCATCAAGATTAAAAACTTCACACTTCATAAGACACTGTTAAGAAAATGAAAAGAAAACCCACAGACTGAAAGAAAACATTTGTTACTTTTCTAATTGACAAAATGACTTGTATTCAAGGTATATAAAGAATTCTTACAACTCAAGAATAACAAGACAAACAACCCAATCGTTTTTTAATGAGCAGAAGACTTAAAGAGATATTTCACCAAAGAAGATACTGATGGCATATATGCCATTAAAAGATATTCAACATGATTAGTTATTAAGAAAATGTAAATTAAACTGCAGTGAGATACAACTATACACCCACTAGAAAGGCAAAAGTAAGAAGACTGGCTAACACCAATTGTTAATGTGTGCAACTCCCATTCAGTGCTGGCAGGAATGTAAGATGGAACAACTCTGGAAAACAATCTGGTAGTTTCTCAAACTGCTGAATGTGCATCTACCCTATGACCTAGCCATTCCACTCCTACGTATTTACGGAAAAGGAATGAAACATCTATCCACACAAAGCTCTGTACATGAATGTTCATGGCAGCCCCATTTGTAACAGTTAGAAACTGGAAGCGGGTGGATGGATAAGCAAATTTCGGTATACCCAAACTTCAGCAATAATGAGAAACAGACTATTGATACACACCACGTTGTAGACAAACATCATTATTATCGTGGCGAGTGAAGAAAGCTAGAACACAAAAGAATATACATTCCCTGATTCCATGTACATAAAATTCTAGAAAACTGCTTTGGCTTCTTTGTCATGAGTGACAAAAAGCAGATGAGTGGTGCCTGAAGCAGGGAGTGGAGAAGGGAGGAATTACAAACGGACAAGAAGAAACTTGCGGAAGGACAGAAATCTTTGTCCTCCTGACTGTGATGATGTAATCAAACTGTAGACTTTACACACATGCAATTTACACGCGTCAATTACACCTCAGTAAAGCTAATTTTTTTTTAAGGTTTAATCCCAATTCTGTAAAGTTTTATTTCTGGTTATTACATGTTGTCTCCCTATTACAGCCTCTTTGAGGTTAGGATCATTCATCAATAAATGCTTTTTGCACAATATCGTATATTCTGACTATACTTCAATAGAAAAGAACGCATGTGGGGGAGGGTATAGCTCAGTGGTACAGTGTGTGCTTAGCATGCATGAGGTCCTGGGTTCAATTCCCAGTACTGTCATTAAAAATAAATAAATGAATCTAATTACCCACTCCCCCGCCCCCACCAAAAAAACAGCTTTTAAAAAAAACAGGAATATTCAACCTTCTGCCGAGCCTGGCCTCTCGGACAGAAATGAGGAGCAGAGAGGCGGCAGCTGCAGCAGACGGTGGCAGAGCAGCGGGACCATCAGGGCGGCCAGGCCCGGATTCGCTCACCTTCTCCTGGAGCCTGATGTTGTCCCAGACCTTGGTGCACACCATACACTCAAAGGCGTCGATGTGGTTGTGCTGGCTGAGGTCGTGCACGCCCCACGTGCGCTCCGCGAGAGCCGCGAGGAGCCGCCGGTTGGAGATCTCGCCCCTCAGCTTCCACTCGATGTAGGCCGCGTACCGGCCGTCGTCGCGGTCCAGCTGCCTGATGTACCCGGCCAGCTCCCGGGGGTGGGAGAACGCCGAGACCAGGATAGCGCTTCTGCTACTCGGCAGCCAGTCCGCGATGCTGGGGGAGCCGTGATACACGGGGACCACGCCCAGCTTCAGCGGTCTCCAGAACTTCTCGGTGATGTAGTCGTCGCACACCGCGTTCTCGAAAGCCAGGATGAACTTGTACTGGGCAAGGATCCTGTAAAAGCCGTCGGCGTCCATGGAGGCCGGGTCCGCCAGCTGCTCAGGGAGGTCTCTGTTCCGCAGGCACTCGCCGTAGGAATCCACCTCGATGTAAGCCATCAGCTCGCGGACGTAGCTGTCCCTGTCCGAGGGCGGGTCGCAGTCGGACTGCACGTACACCAGCGGGGCAAGTCTCGTCCGCAGGTGGTTTTTGGACTGCAAGGGCACCAGGTATCGGCGGGACTTCAAGACCTCCACGCCCTCCAAGTACTGGGTGGTTAGTGGCAAGTGGGAATGCCGGCTGAAGGTGGCGGTGTAGTTGAACAAGGTGATGATTGGCTTGTGAAACAGCTTGTAATTGTTTTTCGGAGACTCCTCATGGAACAGGGCCCAGTCGTGACGGGCCTTCCGAGGCAGAGGTAAGCTGTCTATGTTAAAGTCAGTACCTAGGAGAAGAAACGAAAATGTGAGTCTGTCCAAAAGAATGTCAGTGTTGGGGGCAGAGGGTATAGCTCAGTGGTAGAGCGCGTGCTTAGCATGTACGCAGTCCTGGGTTCAATCCCTAGTCCCTCCATTAAATAAATAAACAAGCCTAATTACCCACCCCACCCCCTCGCCAAATAAATAAATAAAAAGAAGGTACCACTTAAAAGAACATCAGTGTTTATGTTGGAGTCCACCTGGTAACATTAGAATACAGAGGAGTTTGAGGCCGTAAGTAAGAAGCACATTACAGTGTCTGCAAAATGCCAGGCAGCCAGTCACGAAGCTTTCACCCAAGAAACTGTTCAGGAGAGGAACCCTAAGGAGAGAGACCTTCTCTTTCATTTTATCAAAAGGGAAATGGGAGGTGTGTCTAGCCTGATCCTAAGGGGGGAATTTATTCCACTGCCTCCTGCAACTGGCTTTTCTTCCCAGAGGTGGTGCCTAAGATGGGGAAAGAGAAATAAAGAGTTAAGACAGTTCTTAAAAAAGAAAAGATCAAGGAGAAGGAAGCCAAAAAGGGAAATGCAACCAGCTTGGCAGATTGATTAACTGAGGGAAAAAAAAGTGAAATCATGCAAAAGTAGCCAGAACAAACAGACAGGATAGACTTTTTTTTAATCCAACATGATCAATTCCAACAAAGTGCAATGAATCAATCTTAGTCAAAATGGCAGACCAGAGGCTTTTAAAGACTTAAGAGCTGATAACAGCACCATGTTACAGACTGCTGCAGGATGGTCATGAGTTAACAAGCATACCAAGAAATAAAGACGGGATAGCAGGAGTATAATTATGAGCGATTCCAGCTTCCTCAGGATTGACCGGGGAAACCTTTGAAACATGATAACGTGCAGACAGAAATGATGGATGTGGTAATCCATTGTTTCCTGCCCGTGTGGGTGGAGACCCAACCAGAAAGAAGTTTTTTCCATAACTGAGAAAGAAGAATTAAGACAATATCACAATACATAATACAGAACTTCTAAAGTGTTCCAGACACTGATGATTTTTTGGCCCAGTGATTTTGACTTCTTACATGTAAAACGGCATAGCATACAAAAAAATCCATCTTCTAGCATCCACTGGGAAAAACCACACCAAATAAATGCTTTCAGTGTACTAAACCACATTCTCTGGTCAAATTCCTAAAAGTTAATTATGTAATGCCAGTGCACACTCTCTCAGATAAATATATACTCTTTGGTGCCAACAGGACATCAATGAGAAATCAATTAATCACGAAAGGTTTTTAAACCATTAAGGACCAAATAAGATTATTCTGGAGGACACATACTGAGCACAGAGTAACTGCTAAAGTAAGTAGGCACTACTGTCTTGATAATAAGCTTTTATTCTCAATGATCAGGAATGAAAGAATAAAATCTAAAATGGTTATATAATTGTTTTCTTGGCATTTGCTGTATTGCACCTTTAGCATCAAAAAGAACACGCCTCCACACACCTGAAATGTTATGGCATGTAGAGCTGGATGGTCAGCAACGCTTCATGGACAAATATGAGGACATGAAAGAGAACATGAGAAGAAAGCAATTCATCGCATTGAATGGGTGGCTGTCATCAAGGTTCTAGTCTGGTCAAGTGGCCAATGATGGGAACGTAACCTGCAAACTTGAGTTAGGACGTCAAGCTTCCACCCAAGGCAGAGCAGAGAATCAAAGCCATCTGCCTGGGTGAGGAAGACCCAGAGTCCAATCCATAGGAGTCAGGGGCAGGGATCAAGACGTAAGATTAGAGACTGCAGGGGACACAGTTAAAACAAAAGCGGGTCTAGAATTAATTGGGAGACCAGACACAGACGCCTTGAGTGAGTGACGCAAACACCAGTGGCCGTCCGCTGCTAACTGCTGGGTGGCACATAGGTGACTCAATCCGCCTCACCTAGTGGTTGCCACGGCAAAGACCCAAAATGCAGAACAGAGAAGCAGAAAGACACAAAACCTGCCTCCAGTGCTTTGGAGAACGGAGAGGGCCTGACTCCCATCATTGCTCATCTACATTAGTGAAGTACAAGAGACACTAAAGATGGTTATGTCTAGACCTTTCATGGCCAATATCTAGGTCCGCGTGTTGGTAACAGGAATGGGACCTGAAGCTGGTGCCCGTTACAATGAGCCTTCCATTCATTATAACTAGGAGATGCAGGCTTCCGGGCTCATTATTCCTTTAGCCAAGCTGTTCCTGGAACCTTGATGCTGGGAAGGAGGAGAGGCGAGCTCAGGGTCACATGCAATCTACAGTATAAAGAAAAGCCTGCAGAATCTAAGCAAGAAACATTTATTTATGTACATGCTCTAAAAAGAAACATGCCTTTTTTAAAATGAGAGTGTGAGGTTCTCATACATTTATCTCAGTTCTGTTTAGTTTTAGGAGTGGGACTATCTGTAATAGTGGGGAACGCTTCTTTAATAGAGGAAAGTTAAAGGCATCGAACTTTCCGGAAGCATTTCCCATTACTTGCTACTTTAAAGAGTACTTCCTACTTACTTCCTTAAGATACACACACACATGATCACATTAAAATAGAGTTTTTATCAGATTCTTCCAAACTAAAATTCTCTGAGGAAGGTTAAAAAATGTATGTCCCTTTGCCCAGCGAGTTCCCCCACAAACTCAGAACTTCAGATGGTAAATACTCAAGAATTCCTAAGTTAGAACCATAACAGACCGAAAATACTTTACTGAGGATATCGCTGCCTCCAATGTGAGCGCCGATATTGAGCAATTTCTAGAAGGTACTGGATGTGGCAGGAGACAGCTGAGTCCCTCTGACTCCTTTAACTCCCTCTGACTCCAGGGCAATGCCCGTTATAACAAGAGTTGGAACTAGGGGTCTTTAAAGAAATGAAAATCAACTCAACTATGGTAAATCCATAAAAATGCGACCAACTTGCGTGTGACTGGTTCAGTAGTTTTAGATACTCATCTTCACTGGCTCTTACATTTAACAACTTCAGATTCAAACTTTTATTTCTCTGGGTTATTTTGTGTTTGCTGAGTGCTGACAAATTCCTTCCTTCCTTTAAATAACAGCTGACAAACAGATCTGCAGCACTAAAAGTGCACTGTAAAGGGAGTCACAGCTTGGAGTGCAAATGGAATAAAATTAATGCTGGCAAACGGTGCCAGACTGCTGGCTCTGGAGACTGAATTCGCAATGGCAGACAAGCAGAGGAGTGACAATACTTTGTGATACTTTTACGTGCTCCGTTTCTTCTGCGGGAGCATACACTCTTCTTTTGTTATTCCCACACAAACTGGTGAAAACAGAAGGCAACACAGATTATCAACCCCACTCTACTAAGAACGTTTAGCTTGAGTCATGTATCTGTAGTTAAAATAAACCCTGGTGGGGACCAGAATTTTCAGACTGGCTAATGGCAAAGGACCAGAGGAATCCCTGGCCCCACTACAGTGTTGATTCTGTGGAATAACTTATTCTTGGTGCTCCCAAGACACCCACAGAAATATTACCCAGCTGAAACCCAGTCCACTTGGGAGGTGGCATCTCTTCATTCAGGAAAAGAAATGCTCCAACACAGTGTCCTCCAAAGGTCATCTCTGGTTTCAGAAAGAACCTCTACTGTAAAACAGTGTGTCCCATAAAATGTGATCCCGTAAAAAGTGCCCCAAGAGAGGGAACTAAAACTTTGGGGGGAAAACAATTTAAGCCAAGGGGTTGCCTCATACATAATACTATCATCTAGCATTTGCACAGTTTGTTGCTATTTTTAAAGCCATTTCACATGCATTTGCTCGACTCACCCATACCACCCCAGCAGTTCATCTGTTTTCTCCAAGGTTCTGAGGGTTAACTGAAGATGTCACACGTGCGTCTCTGCAGACAGCCTGGCTCTAGAAATTGCAGAGGGACCCCGGCAGACCACTCGACCCAAATGCTCTTGTGCTAACTTCTCAACCACATTCTTCCCTCCCCTCCCATCATCTCCCTGCATGAGTCCTTCTACCTGCCCCTCAATCAGTCCTATAACGTGGAACCCCCTCTCAGTAATACATGTTCAATTAGGCGTCTGTCCATTCTACCCCCGGGCATGGAAATTCCTCAAGCCCCCTTATTGAGCCTGTGCTGCAGGCCAGTCAAGGACTTTGCGGTCCCCTTCCTAAAAGCACAGGGCCAGAGGTAAGAGTACAAATAGAGTCCTGCCTATCCTCTGCCTCAGTATTTAAAGGCTGTAAGTCAGTCTAACAAGCTGTTAAATGTTTTATCTTTCTGCCTTTACATATGCATACATTCATGATTTTTTTTTAATGTGCAGAGCAACAGTTCACAGCAAATATGGATAACAGTTTCTGCCACAAATCATGACTGAGTCTCCTCGGGGCTCGGCGTGGGGTGAGAAGAGGAGAAAGGCGAGGCTCCTTCCTCACCTGCAGACTCTCCCTCACCTAACCCCCCAAACCTTCCCCTCCTTTCACTCAGGACACCACAGGGGAAGTGTCATTTGCTCTCCCTCCTTGGGGCCCTGTCCCTCCCTCCCTCCAGAAGCACCTGAGTGTGTCACCTCTAAGGCTCCTCCTCTGCTGAGAGTCCCCACCAAGTAACCTCCGCCCCAGCTCCGTGGGCATCAGCCTCTCAGTCCCTCCAAGGAACCTGCAGCTGGAAGGCCAGGTTCAATTCAGCACTCTCGGGTCCCGCAGAGGTGCAGGCTAGAATGCAGGGCTGCCTGGCCCCCATTCCTCCCACCCCTGGCTCTGACCCACACTGTGGGCGGCCCCGCACCCATGGACACGGACGCCTCTATCTGCAAGTCCAAGGTCCGTCCTGGCAAAGTCTCCCTCCCTGACCAAACGGTAATCAGGCCCTCTTCTCACTGTGCCTGTGCCTCAGCCTTGGCCGGCTGCCCTCCCCTGGCCTGCAGAGCCCAGTGTCAGCAAAGCATTCTGCTCCGCTGGTTTAGTGAGAATCCCCCACCCTGGATGT